GGGTTTGTAAAACTTGAACTGAGCTTCTGTTGGATATTTATATCATTTCTAAAGAGAAATAAAAAAAAGAACCATATAAAGCATTTATTTATTTACTCTTTAAATCATGTGAAAATGTAGGCCTATGTATCAAATATGATACAACAGGCTTTTGAGAGACATTTTTGTATTTTTTTTATCTTACTTTTTAAATAACATCGGCACCAAATTGCATATTTTTTCCCCCAGATTTGGATTCAGATGATTTTGGTTTTAACAGATGCAAACAGACATGACAAAAACAATTCGGGTTTCAGCATAAAAGCCGGTTAGTGTATTAAAGATTTGCTTGTAATAGGTGCTTTAGTGCTCTTTAAGATGAAAAAGAAACAAAACATATCAAAGACTAGATCAATGAAGGATAATGTTGAAAGTCAGCACATAAAGTGCCATCTTTCTCCAGTATAAGCAGAAATCAGAAAGAGTTGTAGATTAAGTGGGGCCTGATGGAAAGTGATCTCTGTTAAGTAACCAGATATGCAGTAAACACTCACAACAACATGAATATTAATGCATGAATTTTAGAGCATAATAACACTTCCAGCTCCACACAAAGGCTAATGAGGATGAATAACAAGACAAGCACTGACAAAACACAAATGACATTTATCGTCCTTAAGCTTTTTTTTTTTTTTTTCAAAAGTTGCAATCAAATTTGCATAATTCTACAATACTCTTCCTTTTAAAGAATCAAACTCATACTGCTTTAAGTGGACCAAAATTGCATTCACACTGGCCTTAAAAGTGGATTCAGATCTCATTTTGGTCCCCACTGTGATAAGGGCCTTAGTTAATTCATTGTTCATTGAAACACAGTCAACTTGGATAATATTGTAATGTAATACTGATAATCATGACCATAATTTAAATTAATATTTGAGTATAATTAGGGCTTTCAAAATTAACACATTAACTTATTTGAAATAATAAAACTAATTTAATACTGGCATAATAAGCACCAGCGCAATGTCGGCATAAAAAAAATCCTGTTTGCCTACAACTAATAAAATTAAATCAGAATAATTACATCAACTCTTCGTCAGTTGTTGGACTGTGAGTAACATTAACATTAATAGATAACATTCTTACCTGAAACTTTCGGGTGGCCTTTATCATGTAGTTCCAAACATTTTATTTTTAACACACTGTGATCCGGAATGCACAAATTCTAATCTTGCATACTATTTTGAAAATAATTTATGTCAGCTGGGACATAGCCATAGTCTTATTTTAGTAATTAATACCCAAGCGAGTGCTTTGCACTTGGGTGAGTGATCTTATTTGTCTAATATGATTCAGTGAGAGCAGGTGGAATTGCTTTATGTTAATGGCACTGATTGTGCAGCTTGCATATGATAACAGTTCAACTTTAGGATATCATGGAGGCTTTGAATCTAAATTTTATTAAGCTATAACATTCAAACACACAATGAAATGATTCATTCCAGCTTCCAGTCTTGAATTTAGTTTATTTTTGTTACCCCACTGGCAAATTGCTTTTTTTCTTGCTTTTAGCACAACAAAATGTATGGGTATTGTAATAAAAAAAAAAAACTTTATTTTATTTTATATCTCCTGTAAATCCCAGTGTTACAGAACCATGGCTACCTGAATCAAATATATGAAAGCAGGTCTCTCTAGCTCCGAAGGACAGGACAAGTGTAAAAATTAGACTAGGTCAAGCAGCTGTTGAGGGCAGCCCCTCAGTGGGACGGAGTAGGTAGCTGGGCAAACATGTCTTCAGGAAGACCTCAGAGCTGTTGAGAATCAGTGCCAACATTTCAAGCTCAAGAATCACATTTACCAAGAGCAAACTGCAAACTGACCACTGCTACAAGCACAAGGAGACTCTGAATTTGCTGTAGCTTTTGGGCGTGAGTGTCTGTATGTTTGTCGGAATGACGTGCAGAGTGTAGGTGCTACACACAGCCAGGAATAATATAAACCAATGTTCGTTGTGCTCTTAATTTTACAGCAAGGCAAGCCCATTTACACAGACAGTGAATTTTCAGGGCAGCTTTATAAAACAGAGCCTGCTAAAGTGTCCTCAAATACCACATGGCTGTCTAGCGTCTGTGACAGCAACAATAAGGTCACTTCTCCCTCTCACTGGCTTTCACTCCTCACACATAATGTCAAGCAAAGTACAATCAGCAACGCTCTATCTGCCAACAAGTGTGCTCTCTCTCAAAAACAGGGTGATGGCACTGGGGACAGATATTCTTTTACTCTTCAAAAAGAAGAAAGAGTGATTGGCCCTGTACTCAATATGTGGCCCATTTCAACAGATGACAAATGTATGTCACCTTCACAGAATCCTCTTAGCAGGTTACTTAGCAGTTCATGGCTCATGAGAACAAGATTAGATGAATTTGAAAAATCCCAGATATACTGTATAAAATATATGAAAGTTAAAGGATAAAGGGTGGGATGAGGGGGGTTTCAAATATTGCCACATTTTACATCACAATACTGTATTGATTTTGTTGAGGCCGAAAATTTTTTTTTTTTGGGAGATTGAACACCATTCTGAGACTTTGAGTCTTTGAGATGTCCAACAAATCTTGTTTTAGGGATCTCAAGAAAGACATATTCAAACCAATGTACATTATTTTTTATTAATTAAAAACTAATGTTCTCCACACTCTATAACAGGAAATTCAGCACTCATCCAATGAACACTATCCAGTTTCACTAATGCAACAGAATCACTAATGCAAAACTTTTCTGCGTAAATCCACGAGCACAAGTTTCATGCAGGTCTACTCATGGCTCAGGAATGCAAAGGCAATTTGCAATGTCCTCATGTAAAGGATAAGTGATGTTGTAATGGCTGCTAAAAAATTATTTGCCGTCACACAGAAAAAAATAAAAATAAATTATATATACAGTATATCCAATGATGGCTCTGAAATGCACTACTGGGCAAAAGTTTGGAATAATCAAGAATACAGTGTGTGTGTGCGCACGCACGCACACACACACACACAGTATTCTTGATTATTCCAAACTTTTGTCCAGTAGTGCATTTCAGAGCCATCATTGGACTTGTGACCTTCCCACTGGATAATTGTGTTGGAGAGGCCAGTGAGAAGGAGAGATGTGTGACATGAGGGTCGGGGTCAGAAAGAAGGATGAACAAAAGAAGGGTCAGGAGGAATAGATGGAGAGGGGGATGACTGAATGCTACATGTGATCAAGCGATGGCTGGGGTCGCTTGAAAACAAAGCTGGGTGATGAATTGGCTGCCCAGCAGACTGAAAACACTGATGCACAGAACAAAGCAAATAAACCACGCAAACTCTTCCATATATCATTAATAAATGTCTACAATCTGATCTCCGAACAGCCATAGTGGAGAGAGTGAGTGGAACAGCTAGTTAACATTCTGCCCAGCGCTCCGGTGCTCGGGAGTCAACCCTGTTACCACCTCGCTCCTGTTATTTACGAGCAGCTGGGCTAATGTGCATTCCCTAACCAGTGCTTACCCGAGCGCACCCGACTTTTAGCATGCCTCCATTATTCATAACTATGTGTGCGCAGCATTTGGAAAATTGCTAATGCTTCTCTGTGCGCAGCCTTGTCTTATTTATTTATTTTTATTTATTGTTTCCCAGAGCATAATTCATTCCAGGAAAGAGCTGTCCTGCTAGAGAAGAGGGCATCACCTCAACCCGCTTGTCTTTCTTCATTTCTATTTTTCTCGCTTTTACCTTGTTTCTTTATCTACTGTTTGTGTGTTCGAAAAAAATTAATTGGTTGTTTACAGCATGTGGGATGTTACTATAGTATCACTGGTAAAAACTATACAACATATAACCAGAGACAGACATGTCTGAACTTCAGTTGACCACAGAGAGTTCACAGACCATCTGATACATATTGCACACAAATATGACAAGCACTTTAAAATATTTTTAAATAACAAGCCATTTATATGTTGTTATATGTTATTATGTTGGTCAGACAACCTCTTCCTGCCTAAGCTGACGGTTCTTGGGAAGAATAACCTGCATGTTAGACTTTAAGCTGATAGTAAAACATCTAACAAGACTAGTGAGTCAGTTGACAAAAAAGATGAATAGCAGGCTACCGAGTTAATATTTCACTTACAGAAAGAGTAAAGCAAAAGCCAGGGACAGATAATGATCCCAGATATCTATTACGAAATCCTAATGACCTTCAACCAGAGTTAATGAGAGTCTGTGTGTGTGCGTGTGTGTGTGTGGACTGCTGATGGAGTATCCAACAGCCTGATATTCATAGCAACAACAAAAGAACAAGAGAGATATGGAAGAGGAGGAGGGAGAGGAAGAGAGAGGGAGAACATAAAGGCACGCATGAAAATCAATGGGAAGAACGATGCATGAGGATTGGCAGAAAGTGAGCGCTGTAGAAAGGGTGACAGATGATCTATAGAGGTGCCAGTCACAGCCTGCAGCCACACTTACACTATTAGAGACACAGCCGGGCAGACACGGGCCACATTGATCTGCTCTATCTCCCTCTTTGAGAGTGTGATGATGAAATGTGAGGGTGTGAGGGTGAGCAGATGGACTGCAACATCCAGCAAACTCAGGATGAACAAGAAGAGCAGTCTTTTTTTAAGGTTGCAGGTGAAAAGGAAATGAGAAGGAAGTTTCTTATTAGGGATGGGCAGGATGGTCGATTAATTGTTCATCAGCTGACTAGATGATGATTAATGGAGTCTACAAGTTTTTTTGGAGAGGTGAGGGGGGGTTGTTACACTACATTATGTCTTCTCCTTTTATCTCTCATTATTTTTTACTAGTTTCTTTGATTTATCTTTGCACTTTATTCAGACAGACAGTCAAACCTTCTTACAGCTCCACCTGAGCATGTCCCACAGAACACACAGTCTCACTTATGCACAGTGTGGAGACATGCTCCCCTATATTGTATGTGTAGTACCAAGCATAAATTAAGTGGGAGAGCAGTACCGGTTTTGAACCATCCGTCCTCAGCGAAGGTGTCTGCTGTCTCCTGAGGTTTGTTCCAGTACTTCTGAAAGACAGAAGAACCTCGAACCAACAGCTCGCCCTCCTTCCCTTCCAAACCAGCCTTCACCTGAAAAAAAAAAAAACACACACACACACATAGGTCTAGAGACTCAAAGGAGTACAATGTCAGTAGGTCTTCTTCATTAATAACGGTGTACGTACAGTAAATACAAATTTGATCTTATATTTTAATAAATGTAAATGCATACTTAGTTAAATCTAGATTTTTTTTTTGTGAGAACATTTGTGCAGGTTTTATGCACAAGAAGGTGTGCACATACACTTAGTGAATGACTGTCTGTCCACCTTCTTCTGTAAAATTTTACTGCATTTTAAATTATGGGTAGTACTTCCAGTTTGGGGAACTTCCACTCGTGGCTGAATGACTGAAACAAATAATTTCAAATAATAGGCTACAAATTTTTTTATTTGCGCTACAAATAATCCTTACCAGCCAGTTTGATAGATGTACAACTCTTTTTTTTTTTTATTAAATAATGTAAAACTTTTACATTAAATAATGTAATACAATTAATGTGACATTGATATCACAACAACATCTGTGATAAAAGATTGTTTTTTCAGTTCGCTGTGTACCGTTATTTACTTTTTTTTTTTACTATGAAAAAGACATCAGAAACTGCACAGTTGTGATCTGCTCTCATGTTTTTCTCTCCAAATCATCACCCTTAACTCTTTACCATTTTTTCACACAGTGCCTGTTTGCACTTCTAATCCCTATCAGCAGTGTTTACTAGAATATTTCAAAGGTGGAATATACATGTATAAAGGAAAAATTAAAATGAAGGAAAGCACTTTGACATGTGCATAAATATCCAAGTATTCCATGACAGAACATTTTTGATTCACACAACATATGCATAGGTTACATAATATAGACTTATATACTATACAGCAATATTTAACACATCCCCAATATTGCTGCTGAAAGACTCACCTGAGCTTTTGGAGTTATTAATGCTCTGGTGATAGTAAAACTTTTCTTTTGATGTCAGTCACTCATTGTTTACGGTTTAATGGAAGTTATACCCATAATTCGTGTCATGGGCCGTAGGAAAAAGGCGGATAGCAATACTTATTTTCTATAGGAAAAAACAGAGCGCTCCTATAGGTACCTGGGTTCCTTTGCTGTTGCCCTCAGCGATGATAGCGTTGGTGGTGTTTGTCATCATGATACGCACTTCCATTCCTCGCAGAGGCACTCCAACAGCACCTGGAAAAACACACACAGGCAATTTTATTAAATACAACTTGTATTATTTTTTCTTTTATTTTCGTGGCTTATATGCAGTTATTAGTTGCTATTAGTTTACCATGTTCTTATTGCGATGTAAAGCATGAATTATATAGCAATTCCTAAAAAAGTTAATGGTAAACTTTTATATAATTACTGAATTACTGATTTGGTTTGGAGAAGCTTCATTTTGGATGCTGGGAGAAATAATACTTAGGGTGAAACCAGGAAAGTCCGCTAGTTCACTTGCTTTGGTCGGGACCAAATACAATGTTGATTTTTTTTTGCTTGGTGCGGTTCGCGTTCACACTGCCCTTTTTGCAAGTGAACCAGACATTGTAAACAAAACCACACGTGTGCTTAAGGTCATCCATTCATTGGTTCAACCATTCAACCGTACCAGAGTTAGTTTGGAAGCGGACTGAGACCACCTCTTCAGCTGGGTCTCGGTACGGTTGTTTGCTCCACACCCGAGTGTGACTGCTGTATTCACACCTGTCCAAAAGATCTGCATCAAGGGGGGGAAACGAACTTGAGTTCGATTCAATCGAACCAAACAAGACAGGTATGAATACACCCTTAAACTCTTCTAGCAAAACCTTCATTATCAAATCTCAATGTTCCAGCATCTCAAACACAGTAGTGTTTGGAGGAAAAATATCAGCCAACTGTAAAACTGGATCAATCTGTCTAAAAAATAAATTCTGTCTGCACTGTAAAGCTGTAGCACAGATATACAGAGCTGAAGAGATGTCTTACTCCTATATACACACGTTATATGAAATCTGACCATTAGGGGCTTGAGTGTGAATATAAATGAGATGGGGGCTGATTTGAGGTCTATGCACGGTGTCCACTGGGATATGATTGCGTGCAAGTATATACTGGAATGTGGTTGTCCCTGTAGCAGCATTCCTGTCACAAAATGAGAAAAGGACACAATAGCTCACAGACTGCTTAAAGAAGCCATTAAAAAGCCTCCAGTCCCTCTGCCCATCACAAGCCCTCATTAAAACAGAGGACACACACACACACACACACACACACACACACACACACTCATGTTTTATTCAAAGCTTTTCGCACAGCATTCCACACTGTGCCACCATAGGGAGTGGCAGTACCCGCTAGTACAACACGGAAAGAAAAAGAACTTATGCGCATTGCTACTATTGGCATACTTAGATTTGTTTTTCTGAATGGCTTGTTTAACTAGATTTCAACATTTTCTTGAAAATGTCAGTGGTGTTTGCCTGTGGTAAATTCAAAGCTGCATCACATCCGAAGTATGAAAAAATAACAGTAGAATGTAGTAGTTGAACTTCCATAATTTAGTATCACTTGTTAAATAGTTTATTTATTCAGGACAATTTATGCATTTCATTTTATGTTGCCCTACAAATATTTATTTATTTAAATGACTTGTTTACTCCAGTCGCACAATTTCACTTCTTTAACTTATTTTGTAACATTTCTCATTGTATTCAGCTATGATAAGCTTTGGTAATACAAATGCAGTTTCTGTCACGCCAATAAAGCACACCAAAATTAAATTGAATACAGATAGAAAGAGAGTGCAGAAAGTGAGTCATGGTAAGAAAATAGAGGTGGAGAATTTGGTGTGGAGCAATTACAACAGAAATGGATCAAATGAAAGAGTAAGAGAGAGATGAAGGTTTCAAAATGTGTGAAAATCAATATAAATGTTTATAAATAAGATATATTTATAAAAACAAGCTCTCTTGCTTGTGTTTTAAAATGAAAGCTGAAAAATTATGTTTTGTATATTTGCACACCATGCCATATAATTCTTTTGTGCCTTTATCATACAATTACTAAATAAAGATATTAACAAGAAATGTAATGAATTATTAAATACATTTATTTAAGATGTCACTCTTCTGCTAGAAAATATAGGCCCTCACTAAGTTGAATAGCTGGCTTATGGGTGTTACACAGTGATATGCACAGTGGCTAGATAAACATGTGTTTTATATCATAGCTGATACTATCCATTTTTATAATTAACATTTGCAATAGGTCTTAAAATATTACAATTTAATTCAACTAGAACAATGCCTAATCTAGTCTAGGAGCTTTTGAGTGCTTTTTAAAATTGGTAAAATCAAGAATCACAAACTGACTGAAAAGAAAATCCAAACCATTTCTTCAAGAGACTTTTTAATCTCAGTTTGGATTAGATTATGCTCTGTTACAACAAAGATTCAACTATGATTTGGTTCATACTGCTACACGCATTAGATCAAACTCATCATAATTCATGGACGTCTCCTCTGGTGATCACAGTCAACCCTGTGACTGATACTGATCGACTTCAACCTACTTTTGAATTAGACAGCCTCACACAGGCGTCTCGTGGGGCCGAGCAGGAAATGTTAACAGTTGCAAACTCCTCTTAATCATCACCGCCGAGCATTAACTTCAGACCATTTTTCCTCCGTACTCTTCACTAATAATACAACACAGCACACAAGCTGCCTCTGACAGCCACGTTAGCACCTTCACTCACAAACACGTGTCGAAAGGCGAACAAAACAATCCTCAGACACCCAGAGCAATGCAAGAAATTGCAAGAAGAGCACTGAAAGTGCTTTGGTACTGACACTAAAAGAAGACGTGGAAGTTGACGGGAGCAGTTTGATCAGTGCTACATCACTCAGAAAGACCCATGGAGAGTTTCTCAGAAGATAATCACACGTAAACAACAAAACACAGACGAAAGAAAGACTAACAAACTACTTCAGAACGGAGGTTGATCTGTGACAACTTGGCATCATAAACTGTCTGAGAAAAAAAAGACTTATATAGAGATGACTCATTAGAGCTAAACATCAGTAGAAGAAAAAGTAACAAAGCCGAGATGATTAGAACGATTTAAACTAGCTCTATTTCAGAGTCTGGCAGAAGGAAGAGGTATGTAATACTAAAAAAAGCTATCCGTCGTTCATATTCACATTCATCTAAATGGCAGTTGATTGGTCAGATTTGAATTCACTTATTGTATACAGCAAACATTTAACATGGTAACCATAGTTAACAACCAAAATACTATGGTTCTTACTCGGGCTGTCGATATACCGGTATTGAAGATAACCATGATTTCTTAAAATATAAAATACTGATATCATAATATTAATACAACACATATGATAATCATAACTAATTCAGCGCCAGTATTTTATTGTCGTTGGTAGTCACATTTATGAAGTGATGCAGTACCAGGTACACGTGGCCCCTTAAGTGGATTTGACAGTGCCATGCCAATCTCAGTCATGCCGTAGCGCTCCAGCAGCACATGACCTGTGATCTCTGCCCAACGCTCCAGGACAGGCTGTGGAAGAGCAGCAGAACCAGACACCATCAACCTGAGAGAAAGCGAAAGAGAAAGAGAGAGAATTGGCCATTATTTCATTTTCCACACTTTTTTTTTTTAAGTTGGAAAATATGCATTGGTTGTTTTCTTCAAAAAGTCTTGTTTCGCCATTTGACCCTGAGGTAAAGTACACAGAAGCTTACGCGACTGAGCCAAATAAAGGTTTGAATGCTTCTCTTTGATGTAGGTTTACTGAAGAATAAAAGAGAATTTTGAGGGAGATGCTCTGGCTGGTTGCATCTGAAGACAGATGCTGTGAGTCAGGATTCTAGCTAAATTAGTGTGGTGTTTTAAAAGACAAAGAGAGAGGATGGTACCGTATTCTCTCTTTGCACACAGCTCTGATGAAGTCTTGGACTCGAGGTTGAGTGAAGTGTTGGTCATAATATTCAATGAGTTTAGAGTAGATGGTGGGAACTGCCATGAATACGTTCACCATGGGGGACTTCGAACTGATCAACTGCTCCCAAACCTGAAACACAGCAAACCAAATGTGTAACTGAACGATTTAATATAAATATAACAAGAAATAAATTAGCCTAATCTGCAAATATTAATTGCAGCTTGTTTTAATACTGTAGGTGTGCACTGATCTAAATGTTGGCAAATTCATTAACCAATAATAATTTTTGTTTTAGCACGGCATGTTCTACCATTGTAAAGTTGGGCTGGTTAGCATCAGCAGTTTGACGTTAGATAATGTAACTCCCCTCATCTGGTGGCAAAAATAATCTTTCTCTCTTTTGGAAGGCACATTTTGCATTATTTATGCTACAATAATTAACTATAGTTAACTCAGTAGGCTACAACAATTATTATTATTATATAAAATATAGCCATTTCTCACAATGAATGATAATTATTATAACTGAGTGAAATGTAAATATCAATAAAAAAATATCCTGTAGGTCAAATTGGAAAAAGAAGATGTTGCCATCTGCCACTGAGATGAATGGGAATACTAAAATATATTTTCTGCAGCTTTTACAGACCCCCTTAGTTCACAATAGGTGAAATCAGACATCAAAACATTTAAATGTAGAATAGAAAAATATACTTCTATAACCAAAAATGTTTGAATTGGATTAAAAAAAATAAATAATAAAAAACAACCCTGATATTATTTGCTTCTAGTATCGGCCTAATCAGACCGTCACGGTTAATTACAGGAACAAAAACCAATACAGATACTGATTAAGTCACTGATTGTGCATCCCTAGTGTTATTTGTCTTGATGACTATATAAGCTTAGGGGGAAAGGTTGTCGACTGGAGGAATGTTGTTAAAAAAGGAAAAAGCGAGTATAGATTTGTAAAGGTCAGTGTGATTCACAGCAGAAGAGAAACAGTTCAGATTCCCTGTAGAGCTACTACTGAGGTCAGAGTGAAGAGTGCACTGTGCAGGACACACTGGGCTTTTACAGCGTTTCTCTGCTTTTGATGAATGTGTTGCGTGAAGCATAGTGAAGGACGAAAGACCCAATCCCTGCCACACACACCCACACTCATCCCAGTCTGTCAGACGGAAACAGATGCAAGTAGACAAGCAGCATAACTGCCGATATAAACACACTTCTCATGCAGGCACACAAATCAATTACAGAGCATCTAACTTTACTCTCATTTCATTCACATACTTTCATTGTACGACATACAAACACATGAGAATGAAAGGCTGTACAATGGATGATCAAACATAAGTGTGTACGATTCACACATAAAAGTTACAATATAACAATTCTGTCTTTTTCATCTCTCAGTCTCACAGTCGGGCGGCACGCCTGGCTGCACCTTTAGAACACAGTGGGAGAAACGCATGAATTAATTGAAGGTGAACGACAGATTCTCCTTGGCTCCGTCCCCCCTGGGAGGCACACATCTCCCCCCGCCCTCTCTCTCTCTCTCCATTTCATTATTTCCTGCTTCAGTACCTCCATGCTCTTATCATTCCTGCTGTCTCGCACTCTCTCCATCAACCCCCACCCCACCAACACACACACACACACACACACACAGAGTGACACTTCTTTTATCATCAAAAACCCATCTCTCATCACCACATCTCCTCTCCACTCTGGTACCCAAGTTTCTCTAGTTTCTCTTTTCATTTCATTAGCCCCCAAACAAAGAATTGAATGAATTTGTTTGTCCTTCCATATTGTTTATTTCAAAGTACACTATGCATGTGTGTAAACTTGTCATGCACAGGCTGCTCATCAAATTCACATAGAATCTGGCACATTTTGTCTGGAGACATTCCTGACAATAAGCTATCAAAATACATGTAACTTGTCAAAATTGTTTTGCAGACTTCAGCCAATTAATTTGTTAGCTGAAGAAGAAAAAAACATAACAAAATACCCAAAGTTTCTGAAACTTGAACAAATGAATTAAATAAACACAAGCACTGACTTGAGCGGCCGCGATCAGCTCCGGTTCCCGTGAAGACGTAACGCGCCGCAGACTTGTGCAGTAAGGTGCAGATCAGCTCTAACGTCACTGAATCTGCTGTTAAAAATGTATGGGATGATATTAGACTCAAAATTATTAATAGATGCACGCACAATTATTTGTACTGCATACATTTTATACATCTATCTTACTAACCACAAACAAATGCCTTTCAATTTGAGTCTGTGGAATTCGGGATTAAATGATTGTGCAGCGATTTGTACAAGTACAGACATGTTTGAGAATAAAAATATTCTGTTCTGCATTAATACATCATAAATTGCTCATGCAAAAAGGAATCCATGCATAAGTGGATCAGGTGACACGCGTGCATTAATTGACGTCTAGTCAATCTTGTTCGTTCATTTGGATTTTGAGACTTCATTTTCGCAGTTTACAGCATTTCACGCCCCCCCCCACACAACTACCAACGAACAAGGCCCAGTGCAAAATTAATATAAGCTATGCTGTGTCTTAAGACAAGTTAAATTAGAACAAGTTCAATAAAACATTTTTATTATATTTCTACGGTAGAGGAGAATAGCCAAACCAAAAAGAAACAAAGATAACACAATGTAACATTCATAAAACCTTACACAATGGAATGCGCACATGTGACTGGGGCTAGTGCCATCTAGTGGTCGCTGATTTTCTGTGGCTCAGCTGCGCGTGGATCGCGAGCTGTGTGTGTGTGGATTGGGCAAGGCTAAAAAGGGCAGAACGAAAGTCTCACAATTCAAATGAATCAAATAGAATCGACTCAGAAGAGATGTGAATGAATGCACGCGTGTCGCCTGATCCACAAATGCACATTTTAATCGCTACATGCACAAATCATGATACTTTAATACAAACTATAACATTTGTATTCACAAATATGTCTCTATTTGAACAAAATGCTGCACATTAATGTAATTCTTAACTCTGCAGACACCGGTTGAGCGACAAACGAGCCGTTCGTTTTAGTTTTTGAAAAGTGATTTCTGTTAAATAAAATATCTCCTTTTGAAGTGGACTTTGAGATTTGTAACTTTGCAGATATTTTTATGCTTACACAGCAACATTACAGACTAATTAAAGTGAAAAAAGTGAAAACGTATAATAGGACCCCTTTAAATGCAGCCATTACCCAATATTTAATAACACGTTGTTAAAATCGAAAGTTGTAACTGTGCTATTTAATGAGCTAACAATAAGATTTGTATATTTTAAACAAAGATTAATAACTTCTGTAGCAAATGTAGCTATTGCTCATTGTGAATGTTAATGCATTAACTAAGGTTAACTAATGAGGTCTTATTGTAAAGTGATACCTATTGGTCTTTATAGTTCTTTTGCACTTTAATCGGTGTAAAACTTTTAACTTTATACATTTTTCTGTATTGCTTTATTGCATTTAAATGTTCAGTTATTTTTGTTATAAGAAAAAAATTATTAAACCTGCTATACTGTATTACGACAGCACTTTTTTAAAACTAAATTTCAATATCGTGATAATACCGCATACTGTGATAAAAGCATTAGCAATTAATCGCAACATGAAAATTTGATACCGGCATATCCTTAGTTGGTAGTTGTGTGTGTGGGGGACGTGAAATGCTGTAAACTGCGAAAATGAAGTCTCAAAATCAAAAAAGTCTCACCAGTGTCACCTGATCCACATATGCACATATTCCTTTTTGCATGAGCAATTTATGATATATTAATGCAGAACAGAACATTTTTATTCGCAAACATGTCTGTATTTGTACAAATCGCTTCATAATAATTTAATCCTGAATTCCACAGACTCAAATTGAAAGGAATTTTTTTGTGGTTAGTAAGATACATGTATAAAATTTATGCAGTACATGGATAATTGTGCGTGCATCTATTAATCATTTAGAGTCTAATATCATCCCATAAAAATGAACCATCCATTCATCATCATGCAAAACATACACGACAAATAGCGAATTTTTCATGGTTTCTCGAAACGTCATATCATTTCCACACTGGCGATGACATGACTGTGGCTTAAAATCATTTACATCCCCACGCATCATGTACGTGGTCAGGCGTTGACGTCATCAGATTGCGATCGGTTCGTGAGATCGGCCAAATAGTGAGTACCGATCGAGTCATGAAATGTGATTATCGGCCGATACCGATCTCTGACCGATCGATCGGAGCATCCCTATGCATCTCTATTTAAAATTTTTAAAACAGCAAAAGTTCAAATAAAATTTTTTAAATAAATAAAAATAAACAAAAGGTTTCCAGCGTTTATGAATTCTTAAATGAGAAACAAGATGGGGTAGGACATACATGAATGGACTTGTCCTTTTATTATAGACAATAGTCTTTAGTTTACACATTAACCTGGCAAAACTATGATCACAGACTTGCTTAATAATGGCAAGTGAAATTAATGAAAAGTGACATTTAAGAGAGCATTATCTTGGGGTGAAAAAACGTACTAAGGCTCTTATAAGACTTTAAATCCATTTTCTAAAATTTTGGATCACTTTTTCTAAAGGTGCTGCTAAAAGGTTTTTGTTGTAAATGTTTAAAAGTATACTAGCATAGAGATGTTAACACTGAAAGTTACAAAACTCCAATTTTAATATCATAGGGTCTTTAACACGGTTTTTCTTTCAAAGCAAATGTATCTGCAAAACTGTACATGCCCAATCTCACACTATCACACACCGAAATCCAATAATGAGCAACATACATGTAGAAAACACCCACCCTGCACCATCACATGATGGATAACCTTTTACATCCCATCATTAATAATAGTAGAGTCTCTGACTGCAGGCTGTCTAATGCATTCATACCACAATAAATTCATCTACACGCATGTTTTGCTCCCACCAGAAATGAGATGAGCGCTCATCACTCAAACAACTCCAAGCCAAAGTAATGGTGGCACAAATATAGATTTTTCTGCCTCATTAAAAATTACTGAACCGCATGTTGTAAATAATAAAACCCTTGTGGTGAAGAAAGCGTTTGATCCCTCAAAGAAGGTGTTTGT